TCAACCTCAGGACCTTGTGCTTGTCAGGCAGGCACTGTGCCACTGAGCTATATTCCCCACTGGTATAATTCTTTTTGAACCCCACAGCCTCAGCTGAGATGTTATCTCATGTCTTAGCCCTAGAATCCCACAGGCTCCTGCTCAAGCCTCTATTCCAATGGGGGTCAATTCTGACTTGCTTTGCTATGCTGAGGCTCATTGGTGTCTCAGCCGGACTCAATCATGTTCTTTTGGCCAACTAAGGGGACATCTGCTTCAATACAGCCAGCTCTGCATATCTCAGTGAGAAGGGTTGAAGTAAAGGTCAGGTACACTTTGTTTCTCAGGAGAGCGAAACTTGGCAGTCTTCCACAAGAAGGTACATACTGCAAATCTTTATCTGTCTTCATACCAGATGGACAGTCTGGCTGGGTATAGAATTCCAGTGCAGGGCTAGGGATATAGCTCAGTGGCGTAAGCACCTGCCTGGCAAGCGCAAGGTCGTGAGTTCGATCCCTGGTACCACAAAAAAAAAAAAAAAAAATTCCAATGCAGACATCATTTTCAGAGTATAAAGTCATCACACCACTGTGTTCAAATGTCCAGTGTCACTGAAGCAGCAGTCACAGTCCTCCTGACTCCTAACCTTTCTATGTGGCCTGTTTTTCTTTGCCTTCTCTTCAGTGTACTGATATTTATTAGCAATATGCCTTGCTCTGTTTTCCTTGTGGGGATTTTCAGTCACATCTGTGGCATGCCATTTGTTATAAGGAAATTTCTCTAATTTTCTTGATTTCTTTCCTGGACAATTTCTCCATCTCCTTCATTTCTTTTTTTCCTGGAACTCATGTGAATTTGTTATCAAATTTCCTGGACAGCCGGGCATGGTGGCGCCTGCCTATAATCCCAGCACTCGGGAGGCTGAGGCAGGAGGATTGCTGTGAGTTTGAGACCAGCCTGGACTACAAAGTGAGCTCAAGGCCAGCCTGAACTGCATAGCGAGACACTGTCTCAAAAAGACAAAAAACAAAAACATTTCCTGGACAGCCCACTTCTTTTATTCTATCTTTCTATTTTACTTCCTGGTTTTCATTTTTCTTCTAGCCCTTAATTAAGCTTTATGTTGCTGCTTGTGTGTGTGTGTGTATGTGTGTGTGTGTGTCTGTATTTACAGTGCTGAGCACAGAAGTAGGAACCTCTCATATGTAGGCAGCACCTCTACCACTGAGTCACACCTCTGGCCAAGTATATTTTCAATTTCTAAGAACCTTTTCTTTGGTTTCTCAGTTGTTTAGGCATTTTTATAAATTTCACAGGATACTACTCTATAGAATCTTATTCGTGGTTCAAATTGCAATATCTTGTCTTATTTCTCCGATAACGTTAATGAGTACTTCGTAAAAATATTTCTCCACTCTGTGCATATCGTTGCTACTGCATCTCCCTTCCCCGCTGCTTTATTCCCTTTGGGTGCACATCTCCATCTTGCTGGAGGCTTTATCTGGCGTGCAGTGACCCTGGGCATTCTGCTCCTGGTGGGGCTGAGCATCAGAGCTCCAGGTGGTTATCCCAGGAGGACAGGAGGGATTTGTTGATTATGAACTCAGGGTAGGGTGATCTTGATCATATTTATCGGGGAATTCCCGATGTCTGTGTTTTTGGTCTCTTTTCTTGGCATACACATGAGATATGATCAAAATATTCAGAGAATGTTTAAATTAAAAAGTCATCGAAGACCCACGGCCATTACTTCCCCTCAGACTGCTCCTCCTGCTTTCAGACCTGCTCATCCCATCATCCCGGCCCCTTTCTGAAGCAGTTCGGGAAGTCCTCTTGCGCTAGGGTCTTTATGAGGTACGATCAACAAATAGTGACTGCTGTTACTCAGTACCACCCGGCAGAGAGGCCGGCTGCTAAAAACATCATGCTGTCCTCACTACCTTGTTCACCAGATCTGGCCCCACTCGACTTCTGGCTCTTACCCAAAGTCAAAATGACCATGAAACGTAAATGTTTTTAATCGATTCAGGACATCAAATCAGCCATGACAGTGCAATTGAAGACACCATGGAAGACTTCCAGTCAGGGGTGGTGGCTCACACCTATAACCCCAGCACTGGGGAGGCTGAGGCAGGAGGATCACCTTGAGTGCCTCAAGTTCTAGGCCATGCTGGGTTACATAGTAAGCTCAAGGCCACCTTGCACTACAAGTGAGACCCTGTCTCAAAAAAATTTTTTTTAAAAAAGAAAGAAAAGGCCTAGACTTTTGCAGCCCAATATGGCAGCTGCCAGCTTCTGATCACCAGTGTTACTAAGGAACTCGATTTTTAATTAAAATTGAGATGCAGAGTCAGAGGTGGCTGGTGATTCCCACAGGGAACAGTGTGAGAAAATTCCATCCAACGGTGCGGCACAAGGGGCCTGGCAGCTCCAGGGCTCTGGCAGGCACAAGTGCCAAGCCGCTCACGCTGCCGCTGGGGCTGGGACTGGAGCTGGGCGGCAGCAGCCTCCCAGGAGGACAAGGAAAGGCAGCTGGGGAGAAGGGAAGCAGGGCTTCCCCGCCAGCCAGCTCTGCCCGCCCCCGCCCCGTGCCAGCGAGGTTCAGCTGCACTCACAGGAGAGGCAAAAAGGAAACACTGAGTGCACCTTCCCTAAAGCTGTTGTTCAGTTTCTCCCAGGAGCTTAAACATGCACGCACACACCTTCCTTCGTGCACACTGAAAGGCCCTGCTGTTTCCTCTTGCCTTTTTCTGCGGAGCACACCTCCTGGCATACTCCCCATGTACTAGGGCCTTAGCTCCGAGGCCTTGCCCACTGCCTCCCACGGGTCTGAATTCATCTTCTGGCCTTTTTGTTTGTTTGTTTGTTTTGAGACAGGCTCTGGCTATGCAGTTCAGGCTGGCCTTGAGCTCACTCTGTATCCCAGGCTGGTCTTAAACTTGAAAGGATCCTCCTGCCTCAGCCTCCCGAGTGCTGGGATTACAGGCGTGTGCCACCTCGCCCAGCTTTTTTTGTTTGTTTGTTGTTTGTTTGGTTTTTTTTTTAATACAGGGTCTTGCTATGTAATTCAGAATGGCCTTGAATTCACCACAGAACCCAGGCTGCCCTTGAACTTGTGGTGATCCTCCTGCCTCAGCCTCCCAAGTACTGGGACTACAGGCATGCCCCACTATGCCCAGCTTTTTTTTTTTTTTTTTTCTTGAGACAGGGTGTCACTGTGTTGTCCAGGCAGACCTCAAACTCCAGGCTCAAGTGATCTCCTGCCTCAGCCTCCTGGGTAGCTGGGACTGTAGGTGCAGGCCATTGCATGGAGCTCAATCAGCTACTCCTCACTAGACATCACATGTGTGCCTGTCATTGACACCCCACAGATAGAGCTGTGAACCGGGCAGGTAGTTCTCTGCCCTCATGGATTCAAATCCAGTGGCGGGAGATGAACGATACCCTGGATAATAAAATTTTATGGCGTGTTACAGGGAACCCGTGCTTGCATGAAAACAAGGCAGGGTGAGTGAGTGGGAAGCCTCAGGAGGAGACCGAAGGTTGCAGAATTAAATAAGGGAGTTGAGTAGGTGTCTGAGCAGGCAGTGCAAAGGTCCAGGGGCAGGTGCAGTGGAAAGCCTGGAGAAGAGGGACTGGTGTTTGTAAACTGAGGGGAGAGGGGGAGCGCTGCCTCGCTGCTGGAGGTGACCTAAGTCACTCTGAGTGCTGGCAGGGGAGGGACCAGCACCAGCTCCAGTATTAAGACCCTCTGGACACCAGGGTGAGCCGGGAGTTATAATTTTCCCCAACCTACATCCAGAGGCTGCAGGGTTTTCATAGCGATTTAAGAACTAGGAGAAGGAAGGCGTTGGAGTAGGAGATGGGATTCAGGCAGGGTTACAGCCCAGAACAAATTGAGCCATTCAAGGGCCCACTAGGCTGGGGGCGTGGAGGCTGGGGCTGCGGTGGGCGCTGTGGGACCCCCTTCCCGCATGCTGTCAACAGCTCCGCAGCAGCTGCGCGCTTGTAGCTTGCTCTACAAGGCTCCTTGGTCTCTCCCACCGCCCAGGACCCCTGCAGAACCTCCTTCCAGGGATTCCTAGTTCCTAGCCCCCTCTGCCCTCCGCTTCAGCCCTACACTGGGAACTTCAAATTCTTCCACTCTAACTGGGAGAGCAGTTTCACCTTTTGCCCCCAAGGGCATTTTCCTAAACAAAGAGAAACCTGGAGAGAAATTACAGTTTGCCTACCGGGCGGAAGTGCCCGCAGGCAGTGGCGGTATTTCTCTTGCCTGAGTATCCCGCTCCAGGTGTCAGCTGGGATCTCCCAGCTAACTTCACCCGGCTCTGTGGTGAGTTTGCTTCCCCACTGCCTGGCTCAGCCCCAGCTCTGAGCTCTGTCCTCTCCCCCGCCCCTTTCACACACTCAGGTTAGGGAACCTGTACCCCACTCTGCCTCCCACTCAGGGTGTGTGGATAACTGAGACCCTTCCCACACACACAGGTGTTTACGTGTGAGCGCAGGACTGTGGAGTCGGCTTCTGGGGAGGTTCGGGATGCAGGATTTACATCGACAGGCGTGTAGCTCAGTGAAGGGGCGCTTGCCTAGTATTGGAGAAGCCCTAGATTTATTCCCCACTGCTGTGGTGGTGGGGGGAACTCAAAACCAAACAAACAAACCCAGCCAGATTATCTATCCAAAAGTCAAGGTTAAAGCCGGGAATGGTGGTGCACGCCTGTGATCCCCGCACTCCGGCAGGCTGGGCTCGCTCCAGGAGCTCAAGGCCAGCCTGGGCTATATAGCGAGTTCAAGTCATCCTGAACTACACAGGGAACCCTGTCTCAAAACAAAAACACCTCTGACAACGACCATTTCTCCAGCACCTCCTCTGCAATAGGCACTATGTCACCTGTGCAAAACTGGGAATGGAGGTGTTGCATTTACATTTTACAGACGAGGAAGCAAGCCGGGAGGCTGGCAGGAGAGGCTCCCCTAGGCCGCGCGGGCTGACCCTGCCCTTCATGCAATCCCCTCCTCAGGAAGCTGGATGCCTTCATCTACGACGCCGCCGTGCTCAACTACATGGCCCGCAAGGACGAGGGCTGCAAGCTGGTCACCATCGGCTCCGGCAAGGTCTTCGCCACCACGGGCTATGGCATCGCTCTGCACAAGGGCTCCCGCTGGAAGCGGCCCATCGACCTGGCACTACTGCAGTTCCTGGGGGACGGTGGGGCTGCCTGCAGGGACTTCTAGCCGGGAGGGGAGGCACAGGACCCGTGGGTCTTGGGGATGGAGGGGGTGAAGACCTGGGTACCAGGCCCAGGAGAGGAAGGGGCTGGAGGCTGGACTCCCATACCGGAGGGGATGTCCTCAGAGGGTGCTCAAGGCAGGTGACCCCTGACACCCCTTCTCCAGATGAGATCGAGATGCTGGAGCGGCTGTGGCTCTCCGGGATCTGCCACAACGACAAGATCGAGGTGATGAGCAGCAAGCTGGACATCGACAACATGGCCGGTGTTTTCTACATGCTGCTGGTGGCCATGGGCCTCTCCCTGCTGGTCTTCGCCTGGGAGCACCTGGTGTACTGGCGCCTGCGGCACTGCCTGGGGCCCACGCACCGCATGGACTTCCTGCTGGCCTTCTCCAGGGTAGGCGGGAGAGGGTGGCCGCCGGACCGGAAGATACAGGTGGGAAGGGGAGGTGCAGACCGGTGGCAGCGGGCTGCAGGGGGCACGGAGGCTGGGGAGGGGGCCCGCGCTGACCCGCGCCCCGGCCCGCAGGGCATGTACAGCTGCTGCAGCGC